AATTGTATTTATAATGCATTGTGTTTGGCCTTTTGATATACACACATGTCCTAAAAATGGAAACTTCAGCTTCTCAGTGATAACCGAGATATCAAGCATAAAGAGTTTATTCATTATGATTACGTGGTATCACTATTAAGTGATTGGGTTGACACTAAATCCACACAATGGGAATTGGGAATCGTACAGAAAGCCCAATTAGTTTTACGGTATCATCACATGATTACCGGCCAATCAATCTGGTTAATTTCCAGTCACTTAAAATTGTTTATCACATTAGCAGGATCGACCAAAATTTACAAAATCTGGCATCATTAATCATTATTCATTACAACTTAGAAGTGATTGGCGAACAATTTGAATTAATTTAGACAAGTTTTTAGAAAATCTGCCACAGGACACAGAAAGACAGCACTTTTAGTTTTGATGCTATTTTTTGTGCATTTTTTGTGCTAGTAGAAATAGAATTGAATTTCCTCAGAATTTTACAATTACATGAAAGATCAAACAATTCAATTGATTATGTCTCTTCATTGCGTGTAAGCAAGTGAATACTTCTCTGTAAACAAATGAACAATCATTTGGTCTCCACCATGTAATTGGTCACTGTGTAATCTATGACTTCTCTTATACTCGAATAGGTTGCTGTAATTGGTAGCCACTGTAATTTCTTTTCATTTAACCAATAACCATGCACTGCAGCACTGGTCACTGTTGCTGTTTTAGTGTTTTCTATACTTTTATTTATGTTGTGGTTTTGGTGAGTATGTACACATATGTCCAGAATACCCGCGATCTCATGACGTTTAGGAGAGGTGGTAGGATATGGGACACACTTTGACTTACGTTGTATATTGAGATGGCATAAAATGCTTTAAAATCGCACCATTTTCCCGACAGTGGGAGGCGTATCTATTAATGCTTTACCCCTGAAGGTTCACCCACTTGCATTTGTAGGGACTGCAATTCCATAAGCTCCGTGCCACGCCGTATAACTATATAATGTATATGCCAGTACACAACACACAAGTATTCTTCCATGTTCCGTTCTTCTATAGCTACACTGTTCCAATTAAAACCTTTGTACTAACGTGAATAACATAATGAGAACGGCTACTACAATTATGTACAACAATTAAAAGATGCGCAAATACACGATTTGTGTACATTTTGGCTTTTTGTTTATAACTTGGTCGCTGACCATGTCCTAGACTTGAAACATGAACATCTCAATTCTCTAATCTCAGTTTTCCAAGTTGACTACAAACTAATATATATCTGCAGTCCATAGGCTCTCGTGTTTTATCATACACAGTTGTTAGTTTGGGACAATAAGTAAAACCGATCTGGGAGCTGATTTGCCACAAGCATATGTAATTGTAATATCTATGCAGCTGATTCAGGAATGTGTTGTCCCAGGAACCACCCCAAAGAGTTGTAAAAGTGGATTTGATGAGTGATGGGCACAATTAGCTACTTAGCTAGAGTATATTTTCTCCAGGCGTCAGAAGAACGAACAAATTTATATTTACTAGATTAGCTTCATTGAAATATATTGTTGAAAGCTAAGTTGTAGTGAACGGTGGATTTTGACGTATTGAACGCAATTTCCAGCAATTTTGTAGTGGACGTTATTGAACGTTAGTGAACGTCAGTGATTATCAAAAACAAAAATTCATGAAAATAAACTTTTTGAAATCTCAATTTCCCCAACTTATAATTATTAAAGAACATCTATGAACATTTAATTGTCCTCATACTCTTAAGTCAATTGTTAGTTAGCAGAATTGTAGATTTAGCGGAGAGATAAAAGACTGACGTAGTAACTCGTACTCCGTTTTATAGATCTAGATTGTACAGCACGCTATATAAATATCTACCACATACCACACTTTATATTATCACAAACGACTAGTAACCGAGTACTGGTCTAGAGATTTAGCTGCTGAATCGAAAACATTTAATTGTCCTCATACTCTTAAGTCAATTATTAGTTAGCAGAATTGTAGACTTAGCGGAGAGATAAAAGACTGACGTAGTAACTCGTACTCCGTTTTATAGATCTAGATTGTACAGCACGCTATATAAATATCTACCACATACCACACTTTATATCATCACAAACGACTAGTAACCGAGCGGCGGCGAGCGAGCTGAGTAGTACTGGTCTAGAGATTTAGCTGCTGAATCGAAAACAGTCGGATATCAATATATTTTCCTGTTAGCTAGACCAGAACTGAGTGGCAAACAGGAGATATAAAACTATACTGAAAGGTTCTGGAATCTCTAACCGCTCATGGTAAATGGTTGCTAGATGTCAAAAAATTGTTTTATCTGCCATCAAACCTTGTGATCCTATGATGACGACCCAGCAATAGCCATTGGATCACAAGCAGAAACTATTTGTCGAACTAGAGTACGCTACCTGAACTCTAGTTCGCCTGCTTCGACACGTACCGAAGTACGACAGGGGTGATATCTGGCGAATTCAATTTGTCGAAGTCAAACTATACAGTGTGTCGAACTAGAGTACGTGAATCCTACTGAACACTACTAGTATAATTTATCCATAACGTTTAGAACGTGAGACATGAGTTTGAGTGAACGTATTTACAGAACATTTTTAGTGAACGTTCCGTATGTGCACTACAACTAAGGTTGAAAGTTTTCACTAAAACGCTCCCGTAATTGGTTTCATTTGTTCGCATTATAATTATAATATTATATTTATATACTCCTTTCGTTAAAACATGACAGTGCGTTTTACAAGTTACAGTGTTACACTCAACATATACCTTTTATGATGTACGTTTGATATGAACTCAACAAGTCAGTAATCATGGTATTTAGCCGCAATCGCCTCAAGATAAACCTTCAGTTTAGAATCTTAAAATAGATGGTGATCAATGAATCACGATCATGTAGACATGAAAACTGCGCACATCGATGCGACCGCTGATCATGACTCAAACAATAAGTTATACCTCATGTGTAATGCTAGTTTAACTTAATCTTCATGAGGTGAATCTTTACAGTCTGTAGTCTTTACAGTCTTTATAGTCTTTATAGTAGTTAGTACGTGTTTACATAAAATTATCAGTCTTTATCACTTTGATTTATGAATAAAGCTTCGATTAAGTTCAATTCATATTGCTTAACATTTTCTTGTGATTTCACAAACTTACAGTGTCAATATTATCTAGTAGCTACTTGCTATTGATAGTAACTGTCTTATGTACATACTATATATTATATATACTAGCAGGAACCCGTCTAACCCTAAAGTGGTGTCAAGACTCGAGAGACTAAAATAATTATTACTTATTTAATTCGCGTTTTTGACACCACTTGAGAGTCCAAATTTTGGGCACTAAAATTATTATTCATTGGCCAATTTTTTATTTTTCCATGCTGATTTGAAGGCCATTAAAACATTTGACCCAGTCAAAAAAGTTTCAGTTGTATATGTTTTACGGTTTTTGCGGAAAGTCGCGTTAAAGTTGATGCCGTGGTGTCAGTAAAATGGCACGGATATATACACATATATATATCGTCTCGCTTTATATATAGTAAGATAATATATACTATAAATATAATGTACTATACATTTAAAATTAAAGATAATTGAAGACAATAAGAGGCAATGACCTGTTTTCTTAGTTAAATAGTATAGGAGTTAGTCTGTAGTTTACCTCATCGAGGGCCGCTCCCGACAGTTGAAACCAATTTCTGTTGATTTATTTTAGAAACGCTGATTCCGAATCGCCCCACATGACATAAGAATTGGGTTACGGTCGGGCCTCGGGGTCAGAGCAGACGGTTTAGAATTGTCCGTCAGACTCAGAGCCATCCAGGGAACGTGTTAAACTAAATTACGTGTTAGTCCAGTCTTCATGGAAACTCAATCCTTATCTTTAAAAACCAGTCTTCCTCTTCACTTCGAACAATCCAAGAATGTAATGGCTAAATACATTTGAACTTTGAAAGGCTTACTGCCATTATTCTCCTTTTGCAATCTCTAGTTCAAGTTGGTCAGGATATATTCAGTCTCTGATAAGTCTTATCAGTCCAATTATAGATATGACCACTTTACCTGCTAAGCCGCCTACAAGCTCGACCAATTTCATGATTCTGTTTTATCAAGAAATATCATGTTTCCCTGATTTTAGGTAATCAATTTTTGTTCTGGTTAGTGCCAGTGGTTTAGCAGTTCATCTTGTTCATTGTTCAATCCAGTTTTGTAATCCCTGATTTCCCGAGCTTATACCGCTCCAAACCAGCAGTGTATGTCCTATTCGTGTGCTGTTATTAGTAATGTTTGTTTGATAAAATACATAACAATAACAGGCACGATCTAAAAGGTTCCCTAGTAACGATCTAATTCCAATTAGGAAACCAACGGTTGAGTAATGGCATGAGCATACGAGTTATCATATTACCTTCTTAATCAACTTTTACTGTACATCGTATAATACGTGTCCTGGCTAGATGGTCACTGCAATTGTAAGCCAGGAATATTAAGCAGTTAAGTAATGACGTTAAACATCAGTTCTCTGTTATCACACGTTTTATGTTCTCATCTTTTATCTTTTCTACCTATCAGGATGCTTTTTAGCTTTTTAGCCTGCACGAAGTTCATCATTTGATATCGGTGGCTGGATGCCCATCACGTAGTGACACTATAACAAAGAATCGTCGACAGTGGCGTAACGTTGCCTGTTGCCCCCCCCCGCCGAAAAAGCGATGATTTTAGAGGATACGCCGGTAAAATCCCTAAAAAATGTGTTTCTAGATCAAAACGCGCAGTTTTGCTAGTACCGTAGTTAAGTTTTTCGAAATTGTCCTACATTCAAACGACGATTTGGCGCGCCCCTAGGATTGCGCCCCCGGCCCCCCCCCCCCCCCCCCCCCCTTAGTTACGCCACTGACCGTCGACCTCCTTTCTAAAATTGAAACCACCAAATTACACGGATAACTCTAATTTCTTTGTACTCAGATTAAGATAGTCATGGACACAAAGCTCAAAGTGCCCCTCTTAGAACGCCTGACACAACGCCGGACCCCGGAATCAGCTGGAGATGGTGGCCTGAACCGCTGCCTCGGTATCTTCGACCTCGTTAACTCTGGCTTTTCCATCGTGGTGGGAGCAGGTATCTTCGTGATAACACCCGTTTTGACAGCCAACACGACAGGTCCAGCTGTCACCATCAGCTACTTGATTGCTGGTTTAGCAGCTCTAGTCAGTGCGCTCACGTACGCTGAGCTGGCATCCCGGTTTGCGGGGATAGGCTCTGCGTATTTGTACGTTTATTACGTGTTGGGCGAGCTTGCTGCTGGGGTTATTGGTATCAGCATGCTAATCGAGTGGATGATAGGACTTGCAAGTCTCATAAAGTCGCTCTCAATATACGCTGACCAGCTCATTTTGAACGGAACCATTATAGCCTGGGAGGGCAAGAACCTGGCAGTGGAAGTCCCCTACATGACTAAATATGTGGACCTGTTCGCACTGCTCATCCTGCTGCTATGTGGGGGGTTGAACTTGTGGGGGGTCAAGGAGACTGTGGTCGTCTCAGCTATATGTAACGTTGTTGTCATGGCTTCTCTCATTCTGATAATCGTAATGGGTTTCGTGAAGGGCTCTACAGATAACTGGTTCCGTGTTGTCCCTGAAGATGCTGATCATGGAACTGGTGGCTACTTTCCTTATGGAGCTACAGGGGTCTTTACAGGCGCTTCCTTGGCTTATTTCTCGTATGGAGGATTTGACGCTATAGCTTGTCTAGGCTGTGAAGCCAGAAACCCTCAAAAAGACATTCCCATCTCCATGGTTCTCACTTTTGGACTCATCATGTCTCTCTACATGGCGGTATGCGGTGCTATTACATATGTTGCTCCTTACTATACCCTGACCCATGAAGCAGGAATGGCCCTGGCCTTTGCATCGGTCCCGTGGGTTGTAAAGGTGGTATCTGTGGGAGCAATCCTCGCTACAGCAACGGGCAGTTTCGCCTCAGTCCTCGCCACCTCAAGAGTTGTTTTCGGCATGGCACAAGACGGAATCATGTACAAAAAGCTAACCTACGTGAGCTCCACTCAGGTTCCAGTGGTGGCTATCATCATTTCATTGATTCTGCCCGCTCTTGGAATTATCCTCCTTGACATAGAGGAACTTGTCATGATGAACTCTGGAGGATCTCTGATTTGCTTCTGTTTGACCAATATATGTGTGATAGTTGGAAGGTACCAGCCACCTCACACCGAGAGTAAAGGTGTGTACACTGCCGCTGAAAAACAAGCCATTCTAGCAACTCTCACATTCTGGGCATGCTCGCTTGCCTCATGTGCTTGCTTCAAAAACATTGGCTCGATAATAACCGCTCTCTCTACAGGATTGTTTTTCCTACTACTTGGTGTCATAATCCTGTGCTTTATGCGATTGAAACTAAAGGAGGTTTGGGAACCGTGCACCTTCAAGTGTCCCCTGGTTCCCTGGCTACCTGCAGCAGGGGTTCTCGTTAACAGTTCCCTCATGGTCAGTCTCCCCCTTATGACATGGGCCAGGGTGGGGGTCTGTCTTTGTCTAGGCCTGACCAGCTATGCCACCTACGGAGTTTACAACTCTAACATTACAGTCGACAAGATGCAGGGTGACTTTAATTACAGTGGTGACTCAGAGAGGATGTCAATACGATCTGTAAATTCACCTTACACCGATACAGACAAACTGGTTGATAATGAGTTTTAGTTTTTCCCCATTTAGATACAAGATAGCAGATTTTATATATTTTCATTTTTGATTTATTTCAGATAAAAAGGGGTAAGCATATGGTGACAATTTAATTGATAATAAGTTGTAGAATGTTGAGTTTAGAGATTTTGAATTTGTGTTTAGATTCTACAAATGAAAAATTGAAAGTTTAGTTGGAAAATTTCAAAAGTATTTCAAGCAACTGTGCATGTTGGCAAAAAATCTCTAATTTAAATTTCAAATTGTACAATGTACGGCCTCCCCTGATCAGCATATGTTTAAAAAAGGCATCTACATGAATTGGGCGGATCCTTTGTCCGATGATTAAAACTGATTCTAGATTTAACTCCACAATCGACAAGGTGTACGTTCAAATAAGTTCAAATTTACCTGTTTTTACATCCCAAATTCGAAGCTTTTACCTCCATTATTATTTATCAGTGAATAGAGATTAAATTTTAAATCTCAATAAGAAATAGATGAGGTGCAACAAAAAACTATGGATCTAGACCAGTAAAGGTCGATAAAAAACTACCAGGTTCGAGGGGCCAGCTACCCTTCAACCTTAAAATAGCTACTGAAACATCAATGAATAACCAAAAGTGGAGTGACTCTCGGAGTTCAAGGAGGGGTGTAGCCAGGATGAAGTGCTCTGGGCAAAGCCGCAAGGACCCCAGTGTGCAGATGAGAACAAAGAAGTCGCCTTATTTCAACAGTGTTATTAGTTCACAGCATATCACTCATGTGGACCCGGAGAAGGGGAGAGCACTCCCATGCAACTTTATCAAACACAGCATTAATGTGGGAACGTGGAATGTGTTATCATTGGAGAGCAGTTCCTCAAAGCTGTATGAATTGTCACAGAATATGTCAGCATATAAAATGGATGTCTTGGGGCTGACAGAGACGCACAGACCCGGCACTGGTGAGGTTACCTTGGATGATGGGTCCCTCTTTATTAACTCAGGAAGAAGTGATGGGTACAGACGACAAGGGGTAGGTTTAGTCCTCTCAAAGAAGACAAAAAATTCATTGATTTCATACAGTCCGATATCAAAACGTATTCTTGCAGCGAGGCTGCACAGTCGACATATCAACATTTCGATTGTGATAGCTTATGCTCAAACTGAGGATGTAGCAGTCGGGGTAAAGGATGACTTTTATCAGCAGCTATCTGGGGCATTTGATGAACTATCAGCTCATGACGTGAAGTTTTTACTTGGAGATCTAAATGCTCGCATTGGCCAAGATAACTCAGCTTGGTCCGGTGTGATTGGTAATCAACTGAGTAATATATGGAAAAACCGCAACATCCAGTCTTATGCAAAGATCAGGATTTATAAGGCAGCGGTTTTGACAATACTGTTATATGGTAGTGAGGTTTGGAACACAACCAAAAAGCAGCGCGCTTTGAGGTGTTCCATCAGCGTTGCTTGAGGAGAATACTTAGGATAAGATGGCTCGATCGGGTTAGAAACACTGAAGTGCTGGAGCGTGCAAAGATAAATCCAGTAGAGACGTACGTAGGAGCAAACCGCCTGCGTTGGTTTGGCCATGTCACCAGAATGCCAGACACTAGGCTTCCTAAGTACCTGCTTAACTGGACCCCTGCCCATTGGAGAAGATCTAGGGGCCGTCCAAGAAAGAACTGGAGGAAATGTTTGCTGGAAGATGCTGTAGCGTTTACAGGAAACACTGACATAGTGATTGAGGAGACCTAATCAAGTACAAGCAAATAAGAAATTATTAGAGTTTTTGAGGACTTTTTCGGACTTACCTTGCAAACAATTTTACCTCGGTCCAATTTTTTACCTCCTTATCGGGCGGAATCGGGACCGTTTTTGAAGGGGTGTGATAACGAAGGTTGTACTATACTTGTGGGTTGGTCTTAGTTAAATTTATTTGTTGACAAATCGTCACGACAATTTACTGAAAACCTTTAATCTTTGTAAATTGAACATTCAAATTTAGTCAAATATTTCAATGGTCATGGTTTACTTTAAAATTTGATAAAAAGAACCCGTTAATTGTCATTGAAAAAGACAAAATTAAAATTAGATCAAGGACGCTCCCGAACGGTTAGAACCAAGTCTGAAACACATGGTCAGAACTCGTAAAAATCTAAATAAAAATCGGGGTATCAATAAATAAATAACCGGCAAATTCTCATAGTCATAAACTGTCTCCTCAGGTGCATTATCTCCTTAAAATAAAATAACCTTACCAAACACTTTCCATGCTTTGATACATGTCTAATACCTATTGAACTCCTTTGACAGCTCTCCTAAACTACTAAAATGATTTCAGGTCAAGAGGAGGTAACAATACTAGAGGCAAAAGCACACGCAGCCAGTGCAAGTCCCAGATAAGTGAAGATAAGGAGCGGATTAATGCCAGACATGTAAGATAGCAGGAAGATAAGGGCACTGTAGAATATAAAGCGATAAGAAGCCACTGGTCGCAGGTTCAGGAGTAAGGCTCCCTCCTCGGACACGTCTTCTTTTACCTGCAATTTAAGTTGGTTTATGCTGATTTTAACATTTGATATTATATATGCTTATAAACATTAAACGTGTTTATGATTTTTTTGGAACCAAGGAAAACTACCCTGATACATATGTAAAATTACCAAGTTACCAAATGTACCAATGTAAAATTACCAAAACATATTCTAAGATCACTCAAAAAATGGGCGTGGGTTTTTCAACAAATAACTAAAACTAACCTGAACAACAAGCGGTTTGAGAACACTCTGTATGGGACCTTTAGAGCCATGAACAACCCTCAACTGTCTAGCCACCTTACCAGACAAGGACAGGGACAGCTTGTAGAGGTAACGCACTAGATGGGGGTTCTCGTAGGAACATATGGGACGTAGTGCAGGGTTACACTCTGCTGTCACGTCTTTCAGATCTCGTTTCAGCGTCCCAGCTACCATCCTCTCCCGACCCTGAAAAAGGGCGTGGGTTAGTTACATTTTTATTGCTGGGTGGACTTTAATGCTGGTTGTATTGTGTCAAAATTAAATGTCAACTCTGAGCTGCTCAAACATTCCTCAAGCTCTGTTTGTTTTTTAAGTCGCGGCCTTTTAAACAGCCTCTATTACAAAATTGACTGGGCTATCATATGGAGGCTAAATAAATTGTACGAGTTTGTACTTATTTGGTATAACACGTGTATTTGTCACACTACATGCCGGGCCAGTATAATTAAACAACTATTTTATCCCATTTAAAAAAGATTTGGACAAAGAAAAAAGCGCCATCGATGAAAAATAACTAAAAGTAAATTTACTGATAATAAATCTGAATGTTCAATTGTACAAAACTTGAACAAATTGTTCAAAATTTAAATCAAATTCATCCAAAAGTAAATCAAGAAAATAAATAGAAACCTGGATAACAACCCGAACTCTAAGCCTAAACTTATGTGCATTTACTATTAGAAGAAATCTTAAAAGGAAGTTATTTTTTACAAAAAATTATTCAAATTTATTTTAAAAGCAGTTGATCACTACTGCATCGTAAAATATGCTGTAAGCAAACGATCAAATTGGGTGAAATTAAAAGACCCCGAGAATTTCTGCAAAATTCAGTAATATCCTGGGTCCTCATAGCCACAAACATCTTGTCTCCTAAGAGTTTGTCCAACATGCCCTTCTCTTTCTGGGTCTCTAAATTGAAAGTTTCAGGACATAGTTGGGAACACTTCGACAAATCATACCCATCTGTTTCCAAAACATAGTAGTGTTGAAAGGTACAAAACTCTCCTGATTCGTAAATACACCGTGACACAAACTTGGGGGTCAGCTCTGAAGTCCTGTGACAGTCGAGGTTGGTGGTGATGAAGTTGGAAATCGTTTCCTGATGTTTTGTAAAACTAACAGATTCGGATTCTGAAGATGACTGTGATCTCTCGCCGTAGCTTGTAGTGCTTAATTTCACAATGACAGGTGAGAACGAACAGTGTTGCTGCAAGAACAGTGGCCAGTCGGCCTCTGAATCAATAGACACCGAAACTGAAACGGCATCTTCTCCCTCGCTTTGTGAAGTCATCGGTACTCGCTTGGTAGCTTCATTTCTATCAGTTACTTTGATATTTCCCGGGAGATCCCGTTTAACAAGACTGGTTGGTTCGATCCCAAGTTTAAAGATGACATTCTCACTGGTCTTATCAAGGATGACAAACTGAATGTCATCTCTGGCATTGCTAATCAACTCCCAGAAATTCTTTCTATCGTTCACATCCGTTTCCCAGTCAAACCTCATCACCTTCATTTTCGACATTATCACCTACACAATAATTAAAGTGTTATGATACACCACAGAATAGGTATAGTAGTATAGTAACAGTAAACAGCGGTCATAATTTGGTTTCAGTCATCAGTAAAAATCTAACTTCAGATTTGGGACCTTCTTTTTCAGCCCAAAATCATTCAAAGAACTAAATCTCTCCCTGAAAATGCTACTGAAAGTTCGACATTTTCATCATTGAAATGAAAACAACGACTTAAACCAACTAACTAAAACATATTAACATAATATGGGAAACTTTTAATCGAACATGACTGGTAAATTTTCATTCGTTCTTAACTAGAATTTGCGGTTCTTATCGATCATATCGGACTGAAACCCTCCAAATTCCATAATACTACCACTTACCAGTGACAACCTCTAAAATGTAAAACAATTAAAACCTATCTAAGATGAAAATGCTACGTCACTCTAAATATGCAAAGCCATTTTAATTGGATCATAAAATGCCAATTAGGATTTGCAGAGGCTGTGAGAAACTTGATACTAGATGTAGAAGATTAATAGATCGAAAGAAATGTGATCGCAGGTTCTCGATCTCACCAACGAACATGGAACTTCAGATGAAAAGATAATTATTATTCCGCCGAATTCAATAAGATGTGTCGTAAAACATACCGTAAGATAAGCTAATTAATATTGAACCAGAATGATTCACTAGTACGTGATTATATGGCTGTGAGCACCACAGGAGATTCACAAAAAATGATCATTTGGTTTATTCAAGGCAAGCAAGCACCTGCACCCGACTATAAAATGTAAACATAAATTCTCTGCTGCAAGGAAGTGTAAAAATACACAGTCTTTGTAGAGTCTTGACCTCACGCCCACACACAGTGAGACAGTGTTTATAGTGCTCTGTGGTGGTAACATTGTGCTGGGCAATGTTATGAAGGGGGTAATTTCGTAGCACTTGGGCAGATGTCCGTGATGTCCCACATGTTCTATAATTTAATTAATTCAGGGTATTAATGTTCAGAGTATCAGGAACTCCGTAATATTGTACATCCTATTGGAACTATTTAGTCAGTGATGTGTTTATTGTGAAGCAGAATAGTTTCTGTACACACTGCATATTAACTATCACTGCTTTGTTCCTTCAGTACGTGCCAGGTCTACTGCAGTGTATAGTGTATAGTGTCTAGTGTATAGAGTGTACAATGTAAATAGTGTCTAGAGTTGGGTGGTATTAACCTCCCCTAATGTTATTAGACTATAAGAGTCAGCTCCATGATTATCAGTGTTCATCTAGTTGTGCTTCATATTGTGTTTCGTTGTAGTCTGTTGTCCTAAGATTGCTGATTCCGATGAGTTAAAGTTATGTTTAATGGAATTGCGGTCATTTTCCAATTTGCACCCCTTATTGAGATCTCACAGATCTTGTAAAATCGAATTATAGATTTTAAGGTTGGGGCATATAGTCTAGGGCCTGTCGTGATATCATGGATCGCTTAGGTTCCACCAGGATCTGGTAGTCCTCATAATTCTGCGCAAGTTGCTGGACCAGTATCTCAAATACACCTTGCTTACCTTTACAATCAAATATTCTACTTTATTTTCCATTTTCGGAAATAGAGACTTATAAAAATTGACTGATCAACATCTAGTACTTCAACTAAACCTTTAAACTAAATACCACAGCTAGCATTGGGGTGTAGACATCACATTATGTCAAGTCTCTCCATCTTCTCCACGCTGGAGGAGGTGATACCAGTATCGGACGAGGACCTCAGAGCTGGTATCAGATCATTGGCCCCTCAAATCGTAACAGGTATCAAACTAATGTGTATAAATAAAAATGATTTATATAGGTTATTGCAGGTGCATAATATGTGGCAATGAAATATGCTGGAATTGTCCGTGTTTTTTGTTTAACCGTGGCCTTAATTGATATGAAAATCCGACCTTTTATCTGTTCATTCTTGAAGTCACGTGTTTTTCGCATACGGAGATTGAAAAAATAGACATTAAACTCGTTTGTAATTTGATACCAAAGAATTTTGTCCCAACGAAACTGTACAGCCACACTTTGTGTAACATGATCAGTGGAGTGGGTTCCCAGGTGACACTTCCATCACCACTCAGTTTGTGAACGTTTAGTGTATGTTCAAATAAGTGCGGAAAACTTGTATTTCTGTTGCAAATCGCGAAAATCACGCAGTTACTGTAACTTACTGAATGTAACTTTAGCACCTAATTTGTCGTTGCACTGTACATCCTATCGAAGCCATTTAGACACAGATATCAAATATCACTGCTTTGTTCCTTCAGTACGTGCCGGGTCTACTGCAGTGTATAGTGTATAGTGTATAGAGTGTACAATGTAAATAGTGTCTAGAGTTGGGTGGTATAATCCTCCCCTACTGTTATTAGACTAAAAGCGTCAGCTCCATGATTATCAGTGTTCACTGTTCATTAAGCTGTGCTTCATATTGTGTTTCCGTTGTAGTCTGTTGTCCTAAGATTGCTAATTCCGATGAGTTAAAGTTGTGCTTAATGAATGACGCATGTACATTGTATATTGTACATTGATATTGTACATTGTATATTGATATTGTACATTGTATATTGATATTGTACAATGTACACAAGAAATTATGGCAATACGCAGAAACCTTGCATCGTGTATAATAATGTATATAAGCGTAAGGATGGGATTTGTGTATATAGCTTCGTTTAATTAAAGTAGCAGTAGTACATAGTAACCAACAAGGTATAATGTATGTCGTATACCACACTAAAGCTAACTGACTGGTAGTGGTACGATACATCGGGTGACAGGTATCTCATAATACAGTTACACCTTGCTTACCTCTGTAATGAACCGGTATCAAAGATTGTACTTTTGAACCGGTATCAAAGATTGTACTTTTGATCAACATTTAGTACTTAAACTAAACTTTTAATTAAATACCACAGTACATATGTCAAGTCTCTCCATCTTCTCCACGCTGGAGGAGGTGATACCAGTATCGGACGAGGACCTCAGAGCTGGTATCGGATCATTGGCCCCTCAAATCGTTACAGGTATCAAAATAACGTGTTTTTTACTTCTGATTTGTATTTGATCCTATTTAATTAAAGTATGCTGCCTGAATAGAAAAATATGCTGATAATCTTAATTCCAGAGTATGTGTTCTACCTGAGAAACGTAGAGAGAAAAAACCGAGCAGAAAAGGATGTAGCAGTGGCGGAAAAAGATGTAGCAGTCGCGGAGAATGTACGGTTAGAGAGAAAGTTGGAAACATTACAGAAGGAGATGGACAGGACCATGAAAAGTAAGTGTACCATATTGTACCATACTTCACATAAGAAATGTTTTCAATTCACGCGTCCTTTTTTCTCATTGTCGTTTAAGTATTTGATTGTTCTAAAATCAAAATAGTTGTTTTCATTTGTGGCTTGTGTCTTTGAATTAATTTCGTTTCAGATGCCAATTTCTAATGTAAAAAATAAATACATATTTTTTAAATAGTTCATTCCTTTTTAGTTTTTAGTTTGCCAATTTCTCCCCTTTTAAGTTGTAACCTGTTTTCTTAGTGCTAAATGATCATGATGTACCAGCCTGCGCTCCGCCCTTATACAACGCCTTACCCGACCTTCCAGCAGGTTAGTTGCTTTTCAAATCAAATTATGATACTTAGTTATAAAAAATAAATAAAGTTTTAAAAATATATAATTATGAATAGATTTTTCTAAATGTCGTGATAAAATGCTGGTGCTGATTTTGTTGCTGCATTATAACTAACGAAAATGCTAGTTTAAATTTTTGGCTCGTTTCTTACAATAGAATACCAATTGTTACATGCCCCCATCTTCTCAGTGCTGAACGTTGATGATACACTGGTACCCCTTGCCCCACCCCTATACAGCGTACCTCGCACCACCAGTACTGTTGGTGCTGCACGTAAGTTGCTTTCCGAATTTATGATCAAATTGTAATGATATGCAACAACAAAATGCCTCAGTTACCATTCAGGCTGCTGGTCCTGATTCTGAAAAATATGCTATTTTTATCGTGTCTTAATTTCTCTTGCCCAACATCTCTTCTCACCAACATTTCCCCGTCTAGCACAACGTTTACCACCACCAAATGAACAACATGGGTGTCTGATACAGGCAATAGATGGCCCTGCAGCTGGCTGCGCTCTGACTCACAACTCTGATAGGAGGAACAATTTCTCTTACTGGATTCACACTCAACAAACATGGCTAGTACAGAACTATGACAGGTGGCTAGTGACAAAATGTGAAGTCAACTCTCAGGATTGTTACAAAATCAAAGCTTTGGATAGTAGTGATGGTGAGCAAACACCGTGTAAACCAAGAATCAAATCATCACGAATTGAAGTGAGCTTTTCTCCAAGCTGAGAGTCTTTAAGCCATTATTTAGCACTAAGCTCATCGATTGGCATGGTACACTGATATAAAATTATCATCTTAGGTAGCGACCACGTGTTTACTGTTAAGCTAGAGAGCTGGAATTCACAGTATGCTGAAAAGAAAATATCTGGTGTAACCAGGATGAGGATCAAAGAGCAGCTATCAGAGACCGGGCCCTACAGATTGGGAGTAGACTTTGGATTCTGTGAGGGAAAGATTTGGGTAAACAAAGGCTGCAGAGCAGTGTTCGAGGTGACAACAAACCAGGGTTAGTTCTTGCTTTAATGTTGACACTTAACAAAACATTCACAAAGAACTATAAAAAGAACAGCTTTCAAATCACAAAACTTAGGGCAATTAAAGGAGTAATTGACTGGTTAACTCTTGTTATGTAAACTTCATGAGTCGAGGCTGACTGAGCAACAAGTTACCCGACTTGTGAAACTTCAGTATCTGAGCATCCAACACCAAGGTATCGTGGCAGGATGCATTAGGGTCTAGATTCTGGAATCGAACTCAAGACCTTCTGCAGAACTAACACGGTTTTATGAATTAGTCTACATTGCCGGGTTAGTTTTTCTTATAAAAAAACTCTATTCAGATCCCAACGCTGGTCGAATGTTAGTGGTACTAAATGATAAACACGGAGATGACGGTAGAGCACTAGTTCACGAAACCCCACATAGCAAAGCAAACGAGTGCTGGATGATCGAGTATATCAACGGAAGTAACAGGAGGTTAGGTTGCAGAATACGAAAAACTCAAGATATTCATATAAATAAATACCTCGTGTCTAGAAGACAGCGGGATGAGGGAACGTTTTGGGTCGACGTAACGGAAGATGTTGAAGATGCGACTTTGTGGCAGATTATTGACCAACAGTCAGAATCTTCTGGTATGTTTCATCCTTATTCAATCTTATTATTATTTCAAATTCAACTGAAAGTTTGGATGCAACTACTTTATGTCATATCTTATTCACGAGCAAAAAAATGGCTTACAGTTAACAGTTAACTGTAACCGAGGCTACTCTCTGGGAAAAACGCACTTGGGGCCTCCCATTAAATATTTTATTGTAAAATGACATATATCAATTAGAATCTGATGTTAGTACGTGACAATATGGTATTAAGTGAGTTGGTAAACCATGTGTTGACTGAAGAGTAAACATACAATAACTACCAGACATTTAACTGTTCACTTTGCCTGGGGTCCCACAACACGAAAACAGATCGGCCTCCTTGTTGAGCTCGTTCCTAACTTGTTAGGTTCGCTATGTTGCTGTTGTTGTTGTTCAGTTGTTGGTAACCTCATCTTCTCAGTGATAAATGCTCATGGTGCACCACCCTCTGATCCACCCTCTGCATCACCCTCTGCTCCACCCTCTGCATCACCTTCTGCTCCACTCCTATACGACATACCTCCCTACCTGCCCACTACCAGTACTGCTGGCGCAAGTTCTAGTTCGTGTAAGTAACTTTTCACCTTAAATTATAATATGCAAAAATAGGTGTCAACGTTATTCATTTTAAATGTTCTTGTTCTGTCTAGTAGCTAATGCCGTGTTTGCCAGTGTAGACTGCTGGATCTGTTTGAACGGTGAAGTATAAATCAGCCATAATTTATCATGTACTACATGTCTCCTCAGTCCTCACCAACATTTCCCCGTCTAGTTCAATGCTCAACTTCACCTGAACAACAAGGGTATGTGATACAAACAATAGACGGACCTGCAGCTGGCTGCACTCTGACTCACAACTCGGACGAAAGGAGCAAAGTTTCTTACTGGGTCCACACTCAACCACCATCTGCTCAAGGAAAATATGACCTTTGGAAAATAAAAAGATGTGAAGTTAATTCTCAGGATTGTTACAGAATCGAAGCTTTGGATAGTAGTGATGGTGAGCATATACGGTGTAAACCAAGATTAAAGATATATATTTTCTACCATCATGAATTGAACTGGGTGGATTTCGGCAATTTTGACAATGAAGGCTAAAATGGCACATCTTTGTGAGCTTTTGCCTTTTCTCCAACCGGAGATTAATTCACTATTTTGCACTTATTATGTTTTAATGATTGGCATGGTACACTGATATACAATTATCATCTTAGGTAGCGACCAACTGTTAACTGTCAAGCTAGAGAGCTGGAATTCACAGTATGCTGAAAAGAAAATATCTGGTGTAACCAGGATGAGAATCAAAGAGCAGCTGTCGGAGACCGGGCCCTACAGATTGGGAGTAGACTTTGGATTCTGTGAGGGAAAGATTTGGGTAAACAAAGGCTGCAGAGCAATCTTCGAGGTGACAACAAACCAGGGTTAGTTCTTGCTTTAATTACACCACTTTGCACAATATTTAACCTCGCCAGTCCATGTGCCACAGTATTGTGGTCAGCTGCAAGTCAAAACTTGAAATGAATCCCAGAACATACCTACTGCGCAACGTAACAGCCGCTTTTTGATGCACTGATCTTTATGCCCGGTTAAACTTCAACATGTTTATCTTTATCAGATCCCAACGCTGGTCGGATGTTAGTGGTACTCAATGATAGACACGGAGACGACGGTAGAGCAATAGTTCACGAAACCCCACATAGCAAAGCAAACGAGTGCTGGATGATCGAGTATATCGACAATGAAAACAAAAGTTTGGGGTGCAGAATACGAAAAACTCAAGATAGACAAAAAGATAAATACCTCGTATCGAGAAGACAGCGGGATGACGCAACGTTTTGGGTCGATGTAACGGAAGATGCTGCAGATGCGACTTTGTGGAAGATTGATCAACTTGGAACTTATTGAGACCATGCAGGTGACAAACACGTGATAATGAAACGCTAAAATAATATTAACTCTACTAGTGGCTAGTACTTAACCGTCTTTATGATTAAATGTTAATCTGGATATACAAAAACAAAATTGAGTATTTGGATTTTTATCAGCAAATATCTTATTGTACTGGTTGGGGAAATCCTTTGTAGGTTTGCAAAATTTACAATGTGAAGATGTTTTTACCAAGGTAAATTCTATTTGTAATGTACGAGGATTATGACTCCTCGGAGTCCATTTCATTTAAATTAATTCCTTCAATAATGTCCTCAATAAATGTATTTATTTGTATTTGTGAAAATAGTTTAAAACTTAACGTTGTGTGGATTTTGAAGAATATTCGACCTATAACACACCTTACATACCTCTATATTGATTACTGAACCAACAAATCAAATTAATATTTAATCGTTCTTTTTCGTTTAATATGGAAGCTTATAAAAATTAACTGAGCATATCAAAGCAACAATTCCAATTTTCACTACCATCAAACTACACTAAATACCACAGCTAGCACTGGGGTGTAATCACATATGTCAAGTCTCTCCATCTTCTCCACGCTGGAGGAGGTGATACCAGTATCGGACGGGGACCTCAGAGCTGGTATCGGATCATTGGCCCCTCAAATCGTTACATGTATCAAACTAATGTGTTGGTTTCTTCTTATTTGTTTTTAAATATTGGCCAGAATTCATTGCAGAAAAGGCAATTGATTACTCAATCTATGTTATAATATAATATATCTAATACTCGGTTAAAATCTCGGAGTCAATATATACTACATATTAAAAATGATTTGACTGAATAATTAATCCCAGAATACGTGTTCTACCTGAGAAACGTTAATAGTGAAATCCGAGCAGAAAAGGATGTAGCAGTGGCGGATAAAGATGTAGCAGTCGCGGAGAATGTACGGTTAGAGAGAAAGTTGGAAACATTACAGAAGGAGATGGACAGGAACAGGGGAGGTAAGTTAAAGATTGGAGGGGGAAACATTGAGTGTAGGATATTTTCCAGAAAAATGTGGTCGTGCAGTATTTTGGGAGGATTAAAGAGTAAAGACTTTTTGCTAGCTCAGTCCACCCCAACTATATCAAATATCAATATGTCTTTTACATGGTATATTGATTCTTATCTGCCTTATAATCCCATATTATCAGTGCTGAACGATCATGATGCATCACCCTCTGCTCCACCCCTATACGATGCTTTACCCGACCATCCCACTCCTAGCTTCTCGGGAGTCAGTTGTAATGCAGGTTATTTGCTTTTAAAATCAAATTATAGTCCAACCTTATACACGTCCCTCGCAATTCGGCTAAACCGACACATAGCAGGAGCTACATTAACATTGGGGCCGTCAAAAATAGAAGTATTTTTAATTTATCAGGCCCAACATCTCTTCTCAATACCATTCATTACTATTATTCTTGATCCAGCACAGAGTTCAACATCACCAAATGAACAACATGGGTGTGTGATACAGGCAATAGATGGCCCTGCTGCTGGCTGTGCTCTGACTCACAACTCTGATCCAAGGAACGAACAATCTTACTGGGTCCACACTCAACCAACAACTCCTCCATGGGGGCAGGACAAGTGGGATATAATATTGACTGAAGTTTATTGTCAGAAATGTTACAACATTAAAGCAACGACAAACCAGCAACAATCAGCAACAAAAATTCCAGGTTAGGTATCGCCTTTAATTCCGCCGTAAATAACCATAAGTCACTCCATGACTCCATATGTCGTATGGCATTGATTTGGGCAGCTGCATTAATAAGTCACAACCTAAGTACGTACCCTAACTAATCTATCCAGACCGTTTTTAACACCCTTAAAACAATGACAAAAAGTCTGTTATCTTTATCAGATCCCAACGTTGGTCGGATGTTAGTGGTTTTCGATGATAAACACGGAGATGACGGTAGGGCCTTAGTTCACGATACCCCACATAGCAAGGCAAACGAGTGCTGGATGATCGAGTATGTCAACAAGAAAAACAAATCTTTTGGCTGCAGACTGCGGAAACCCAAGATAGACATAAATATAAATACCTGGTATTGAGAAGACAGCGGGATGAGGCAACGTTTTGGGTCGACGTAACGAAAGATGTTGAAGATGCTACTAAGTGGCAGATAATCGGACAACAACCACTACCACTGCCTTTTGGTATGTTCGAATCTTATTAATATTGTGATGTTTAACTTCATCGGCTTTGATTTAAGCCTAATATAAAGTTAAAATAATTATATATTATTCTTTTGGTCGTGAGATCCAAAATAGGTTACAGTTTACCGTCGTTTTTGAGGGCAATAGAAACGGACTCAGGCCATTTGTACATTCAAAAAGAGTGATCATCTTCCTCCTCTATCTTGTTGAGTGTCCTGTATAGTGACCCCTCGCTTGAGTCGTTGTTCCATAAGGGTGACTTTTCTTAAAGACATTTTTCTCGGATATGACAAATAGATTGAGTTTCTATTGCCAGCTCAATAACCACGGCAAAGTTAAACTAGACACCCGCTATTTTCGGACTATGTAAATATGCATTATGCAAGCTAAATAAATACGACTATTGTTATAACTTGTAACATAATCATTTACAATTCAGGTGACTCGCAACAATCATCCTCTACTAATCGACCTGTCGACCAAATTGAAATTAACGCAGCCATGAAATGTCAACAGTACTTATACAAGATATTCAACCAAAAATATCACGGACCACTATTTCATTCAAACGATTTAGCTAAAGGAAAATATAAACTGGCTTTGGTAAACGAACGGTATGACCCGCATGACTACGAAGATGGCTCAGGCAAGGAGATAATGTCAGTATATGGACCACTATTAAGTAGACCAATATTTATAATAGGGAACAGTATCAGTACTTTGTTGTGTAATAAAAATATGGCTTCTTTTGCTGACAAGACTAGAGTAGAGTGGCTAATTAAAAAGATGAGTGACGGAGCCTATATGATAATCAATGCAAAAACGGGACAAGCATTAAAGTGTGACGACGCTAAGGATGAGAGAGGCAATCACCAAGTTCGGGCAATCGGACCAAGACCGAATGATGAAAATGATGGAAGCAATCGTTGGATTTTCCAATTAATGAAAAACCCGGTATAGTTACGAGGTTTAGTCACGAGGTTTAGTCGCGTGGTTTAGTTACGAGCTTTGGTTACGAGCTTTAGTCACGAGGTTTAGTCACGAGCTTTAGTCACGAGGTTTAGTCACGAGATTTAGTCACGAGGTTTAGTCAGGAGGTTTAGTCAGGAGGTTTAGTCAGGAGGTTTAGTCAGGAGGTTTAGTCACGGGGTTTAGTCAGGAGGTTTAGTTGCGAGCTTTAGTCACGAGGTTTAGTCACGAGGTTTAGTTACGAGGTTTAATCAGTTGTTGACAAAGTTCAGCCATCGAGAAGGACTGAATTTCTTACTTAACCAAAATTGGTTTGGTGAGTACTATACCGGAGTCAGGAATCAGCCTCATCAACTAAAGGAAATTAATAACATTCAGTATCAAATTAAACACACACTTATATAACAGTGTTAACTTGATATAAACAAAATTGTTCGTTACTCATTAATTTAAATTAGATTAAGTCTTTTATATCTAAGGCAAGCCATATTATCTTATAGCTAGATGTCTATGATATATTTCGCTTAGAATTTAGAGAATTGATATTTGATTTATAAATTGAAAGATTCTATGATTCCTCTTTGATTATTATAGTAATATTAATTGTACTTCAAATTGGATCGGTATTTAAATTATGTTATTTAAATATTTAAGTACACTTTTATCTATCATGCTATATTTAGAATGAAAACCATAATGTTAAATCTGTATTCAACTGGTTAAGTTTTAAGTAAAATTTGATTAATCTATGTAGTCATATATTTCATCAGACTAAAAAAACTAAAATTTGTACTCAATTTCAATGATAAACTGAACATTTTTTTTTTATAAATATCTACATTAAAAGGAACAGAGGCTTATAAAGATTAACTGCGCATATCAAAGTAACAATTCCAATTTTCACTACCATCAAACTAAACTAAATACCACGGCTAGCATTGGGGTGTAATCACATATTATGTCAAGTCTCTCCATCTTTTCCACGCTGGAGGAGGTGATACCAGTATCGGACGAGGACCTCAGAGCTGGTATCGAATCATTGGCCCCTCAAATCGTTACAGGTATCAAAATAATGTGTTGTTTGCTTCTTATTTGTTTTTGAGTATTGGCCAGAATTCATGGCAGACAAAGCAGTTGATTACTGAATATGCGATATCTAATACTCGGTTAAAAATCCCGATTTCCGAAGTCAATCTATACTACATATTAAAAATGAATTGTCTGAATGATTAATCCCAGAATACGTGTTCTACCTGAGAAACGTAAATAGAGAAATCCGAACGGATAAGGATGTAGCAGTGGCGGATAAAGATGTAGCAGTCGTGGAGAATGTACGGTTAGAGAGAAAGTTGGAAACATTACAGAAGGAGATGGACAGGAACAGGGGAGGTAAGTTAAAGATTGAAACATTTGAGTGTGCGACATTTTCCAGAAAAATGTGGTCGTGCAGTATTTTGGGAAGATAGAATGTAGAAGAGTGAAGACCTTTTGCTAACTTGGTCCACCCTAGCTAATTCAATATGTCTTTTACATGGTATATTGATTCTTACCTGTCTTATAACCTTATATTATCAGTAATATACGATCTTGATGCACCTGCACCGCCCTCTGCTCCACCCCAATACGATGCTTTACCCGACCTTCCCACTCCTAGCTTCTCAGGAGTCAGTTGTAGTGCAGGTAATTTGCTTTTAAAATCAATTTATAGTCCAACCTTATACAACATCCCTCGCAATTCGGCATACATTGACATTGGGGGCGTCAAAAATAATAGTCTTATTATTTTATCAGGCCCAACATTTCTTCTCACTACCATTTCTATCTATCAATCTTGATCTAGCACAGAGTTCAACATCACCAAATGAACAACATGGGTGTTTGATACAGGCAATAGATGGCCCTGCAGCTGGCTGCGCTCTGACTCACAACTCTGATCCAAAGAACGAACAATCTTACTGGGTCCGTTTTTAACACCCTTAAAACAATGACCAAAATTCTGTTATCTTTATCAGATACCAATATTGTTCGGATGTTACTGGTTTTCGATGATAAACACGGAGATGACGGTAGGGCCTTAATTCACGATACCCCACATAGCAAGGCAAACGAGTGCTGGATGATCGAGTATGTCAACAAGAAAAACAAATCTTTTGGCTGCAGACTGCGGAAAACTCAAGATAGACATAAAGATAAATACCTGGTATC